GAGAACAAAATATCCGTGGGGAGAAACTGCCAGGCACAAATTGTACCTCGGCGATGATAGTCGCGGTTTCTCTTTGTGGTGTGGGTAGGTACGTACGTACGCTCATTTAATTCGACTTGATTTCCAATCCTGCTGCGACAGAATTGCTATGTAGCAATAAAACCCACTACAGTAGCATACAAGCAAGTCGGATTAAAAGAAGAAAGGAATGACATGCGGGTTAAGAAAATTTAAGTGGACAGCCTGATTATCACAATGGAAGTCAACATCTTGAGAACAGTGTCAATTGCAGAAGTCCGGTAATCTGCAGTGGAGTTAGGTCAGCTAGAACGGCCTGCAATAGAAGAGAGTATTAGATTGGCGTCATAAACATCACATTTAACCAAGTAATCTAAAAAGCAATACTCTGCTACCATAAGAGAATTCCGTGTGTTTAATGACGAAAGAAAAGTCAAACCAATATGGGTCCTGTGATAACCATTTCATGGAATTCAAATTCCATTGGAATTGATCAAATCTGGCTCACGTTGGTGTTTTATACTTATTGGCTTGCAAATGATAGTTTCGCCTACCAATGTACCACGACATTTCACAAGGTTGAGTCGCATGGATGTCCTGTAGTGATTGATGTCTCGTATCCTAGACGCAAATTTCCTCCTTTGTATTTGGCTGGCTTGCCGAACAACCTACACGTGGTGCCAGCTGAGTGGTTCGTGATTTGCCCGTTCCAGCAAACGTTTCGGCGGCAGTGTTCCAGGAGGTGGTGGGTTTTCGTCTGGCAAGCGTTCTCCCTATAAAAAGTCACATATGTCCGTTTAAGAGCATTGTGACGTGGCGGACATGACTTGTCACTAAATAAAGTCACTGCTCCTTGCTTCATCCTGGCGAAGCAATGTAATCCAGCAACTTTATGCTGTAATTCTTGGGAGCATTGGGGCCCAGTTTGATAAAGGAATAACGAAAAGACGCATGAACTGAGCCATCGGTCACCGGCTCCCACTGGGAGCGATTCTCTGAATACGCTGTGCCGCCTTGCGGGCAGGCTATTCAGCCAAAGGCTCGGGGTGGTGTCCCCTAAGTCAACACACTACTTCGGCTTGGGCAACCGGGTAGTATCTCACCCCCTGATGAAATCATGGACATTAATGTGTTGTGTTTTCCTTTACAATTTCTGGCTGGCTAGCCGAACAACCTACACGTGGTGCCAGCTGGGTGGTTCGGGTTTAACCCGTTCCAGCAAATAGTTCGGCGGCAGTGTTCCAGGACGTGGTGGGTTTTCGCCCGGCAAGCGTTCTCCCTATAAAAAGCCACAAATGTCTGCTTATCAACACTGTGACGTGGCGGATGTGACTCGCCACAAAATAAAGTCACTGGGCCGTGGACATCCGGAAAATGGTATCCAACTCACGGACATCGATCGCTTATTCTCACATTCCTACCGATAACAAACAGTCAAGAATTCTGCGGCACGTTCAAAAATACAAGCTACATTCATAGACAATTACATACATATATACACCCATACACTTACATTCACTGTTATGCCAAACATGTACTCTGTACATTTTGATCACACTATGTTAACTAAACATGATCATGCCTGTACTGGTGTGTCTCGCATTGTCGAGAATAAACGTTTATTTATGGTTTATGATGGCTCTATGTCTACCCACAGACTGTTGCAAATATATATCTCTCCTGTGTATGGTGCTATTCCATAATCTCAACTACATTGTCTATCATGGGGCAAACTGAGGAGGTCAGTGCTTCACCTCACCCTACGTACCTTCTAATTCATCAACGGTTTGGACGCTAAGTTACAATGTGTTGATAGCATATTTATCTTGACGAATACTCAAGCCAACCGAACCACATCAGCCGAAAAAGGATTAGGTGCGCAATTTGTCTGCACTTGGATGATTGATGGGACAATAGAAAATGATTTACAGTGGGCAAAAATGCGTGGGCAGTCTCCATGAAAACACAGCGCCGATGAAACAACGCGCAAGTTACTTAACAACCCAAAAGGTTTGCACAGATGTGAGGATTCCAGCAATGAATTTTAAGGATGGCCGGGTACAGTCCACCGTTTGTTCCACACCCGTACCGTCATTTGATTATCACGAGCTATATCAAACCGGATTATGTTCAGGCGGCTGCTGCATCGTTCAAATCTTCAAACCCCGCAAACCCCTTGAACTCTTTCACATCCACCCGCAGCCAACAATTGCAGTGTTCTTGGACATCCGAGCGATATTTGATTCAGTAGATAGGTCTGCGTTGTGGAACTGTGGAAAGGTGTGCCCGACAAGTTTGTAACCATCATGAAAGAACTTTACAGTCACACGGCGGGCAAATTCAGGGCTTACGGCAAGCTCTCCTCTTCATTTGTTGTGATCAACTATGTTCGCCAAGGTTGCCCTAATTCACCTTTCCTCTTCAAGTTGACCATCAAAGATGTCGTCCAAAGAGCACTGGATGGTGTCCAAAACTGCTGTGTTGAGCTCCTCCCTGGAGACAGAGTCACGGACTTTGACTACGCCGATGATATCGCCTTGCTGGCGGACAACTCACAAACCTTCTAGCGCTCTTTGGACGGCTTAGCGATGGAGGCGTCTAAGTACGGCTTATGCTTCACTCCGGGAAAATGTAAAACGCTGCTCCAGGACTGGTAGGTGCCTGAACCCGCACTCACAAGCGCTGGACATGTTCTGGAGCAAGTTCCTTGCTTTACTTATCTAGGGTGTTGCATCACGGCTGGTGGCGGTGTTGGAGATGAGGTCTCACAACTGATTTCAAACCCCCACCTTGCATTCATCAAACTGAGACACCTATGGCGTCGTCGTGATATCAGTCTCAAGCTCAAGGGCAGGGTGTATAATGCTCCCGTCCGTGCAGTATTCCTGTACGACTGTGAGATATGGCCTATTCGCTCGGAAGACCTAAAGCGGCTGTCAGTCTTCGACAATCGCTGTCTACGAAGGATTGCTCGGGTGTGGTGGTAACACTACGTACGCAACGCAGAGGTGCAGGACCGCGTGCTTGGAGTGAGTAGTGCCAGTCTTCAAGATGTTATTCTCCGACATCACGTGCATTGGCTCGGGCAAGTTTTGCTCATGCCAGCCCATCGCTTCCACGTCGAGCACTATTTGCACTCCCAGGGAGAGATTGGAGGAAGTGCCGCGGTGGACAGACAATAACGTCGGGAAGGAGCATGAAGAAGGCAACCTTAATTTTGGCGGCAGTCGGACCACTCCATCTTCCAGGTTGGGGACCACCAGATGCTGAATCTCCGTGGTTGGAAACATTAGACGTCATGGCCCGCAACAGACATCAGTGGCGTCAATGATGTTCTGCCATTAAATCCTCCTTTAATACACACACAACTCACATAAAAAAACTAACGACAATTCAAAATGGCGTGTGTACAATCAAAAAAGCATTTCCTATTTTTTAATCGCAAACCTTGTTCCTATCTTCTCCACTATTTCTTCTGACGTGGTTCTGGTGGCACAATATCTGTTAACAGACCGTGAACATATATGTACGTATATTTATATTTATATTTATAAAGGTGTGAGTGCGTCGTCCAGTTGTCTGTTGATCAGTCATAATATGGCGGAATTATTTGATTACGCAGGAAGGGAGTACTAGAACTGTGACACTTGCTAGAAGAAGACCTTTCGCCAACAATTATGTCGGTTGTACTGTGGGGCCAGCTTAAATTGATGGCCCATCATAGGTGTGTTCCGGATGAGTTTGAAAAGATAGTGCCAAATGTGATTTGGGTGTTTTAGAACATGATTCACTATTATGGAATAACCTCGTAGACGCCAGCAACTTCTGTACGATTGTTTGGCCTTCAGTTTTCCTTGGTAAGGAAAGCGTGAAGAACGTTTTACCTTCGCCATCGCCCTGCGCTGTGCAGTATCGATTGCGGCGAATTGGCGTCCCTAACAGAACTGCCACACTAGTAGAGCGTATTCTACGCGAAGCGTAGTGTGCTCGCCAAACATTTGTGCAAAGAATGAGGCCTCACTCATTTCGAACACCCTAGATATGAGACCGAAGTGCTGAGTTGCTGTCTTGGACGCATTTTGTTATGCCAAGATAGCACTCACGTGAAGCGCAGTGTGGTAGTAACGGCCGAAGAAAGTAGTTTTGAGTGATCTGACGATTTTTTGATGAGAGCTTTGCATTTGGTAACGCTGAACTGGAGCTTGATCTCAGCTGACTGCGTCTATGCTCTAGCCAAATCACTTCGTAGATTAGCGTGATCCACTAATGTACAAATGGCACGCCATATATGCAGACAATCGGAGAACAAGGATCAATTGAACAGAGTGCCCTCGCGAGGCCATTAAATTATATCAGGCTTGGATATGATCCAAGTACCGAAACATCAGATTCCTCGCACTGGGCATCGATTTGGTCGGATAGGACGCTGTGAAGCATCACATTCAAATAAAGTGGAAGGAGAAATTTGCTCATCCGACTCAGAATGGGATCGCTGATTTAGTAATCCTAAAGGTCTTGAAGCAGAATGCGATTATCTATACTGTAAAATGCTTTTGTGAAATCCAACGTCAGCGTACACTGTCCAGCGTGCACGAGCTATTCGTCAGTATACGGCGCCCTACCGATTCTGGTGAAATCCGTGGCGCTCCGGATTGACAATAATCTTGTGTCATAGAAAGGGACCATAATGTCTCCCATGAGTTTGGAGATCAGGGAGAAGCAGTGGTATCGGCCAACAGTGCTCTGCTTCTGAACAGCTGTGACGATTCTGCGCTTCCACATTGTGGCAGTCTGCATCTTGCAAATACATGCTAGAACGAAACCGGCTAACATTTCAGCTTAACTCTTGGTAGGCACTTGCAATGCTTTTGAGCGAATGTCGTTTGCACCAGGCGAGCTCTACTTATGCTAGGACATCAGTCACTTCAGTACATCTATGGCGGTATGGAATATATGGTCACGTACACTGATGGCGGTACGATCTGTGTATGGAAGTTGAGAGACATGTACACTTGGGCAAATACGGCTAATTTGTTTTCCAAGAACTTTAGGCTACCTCTCGTGTCGTTTGGGCCAGTCCGCATGCTGTGTGTACAGAGCAGGAATTCCTTCGCAGTTCACTCTATACAGTTTGTTCACGTGTCTGTAAAGCTGTTCAGGGATTGGGTAACATCTTGCCACAAAATTATGGTGGTACTTCACTCTATCTTCTCGGACGAGTTTGACGCCGTGGTTCTAGTTTGTGTTGTATAGGTAGCCCAGATATTCTCGCTTAGAGGGACCATGTGGGCGCGCCAAGCCAACTCCCCCAAATGGCATCAATTGCTCAGCACTGCTGCTCAAAGACGGTTTCGTTTAGCTCAAATTGTGGCATTTGGTGTACGTTGAATCGGCTGATAAACTCCCTCCCCCAGGATACCTCGGGAAAGCACTCGGCTAGGAAAGACCAGCTAATTGTGACGATGCTATCTTGAAGCAATTCTGCGTAACACATGTAGCGGGACACTAGTGTGATATGATCGCTGCGGACCAAAAGAGTACTCGTTGTTACCATGTCGAGCATGAGTTTCTCGATGGTGCAAAAGAATACACCCAGGTACATCGTGAATTGCCATGTCGACAGCCTGCGTTTTTCACAGATAGCTGGTCACATGTGTGATGTGTACATTCAGCGGAACTAGCAGCCAAAATCCTACGTGCAGTTGAACACGTTTCCAAAATGCAGTCAAAGATGGCGTTTGAAGTTGGATTTTGGTTCACATTGCTGTTCAGGTGGATTAGCTGGCCAGCGTAGAAATTCCAATTTCACCGTTCTCGCTATCAAGCTTCACGTGAAAGCCTATTCGGTACTGGCTGGTAAGATGTACCAAGTTCAACGTTTGGTCAGATGCTAACTTCTTGCTCAGTTTGGCCAACGTACACTGTGTTTAACAAGACGCATACAAATCCACGCACCCAGAATGCAGCGAGCTCAACCTGTGGATAAGTTCCGCCGTAACGGAAACAACTACAGGCAACTGTTTTCTGTAAATCTCATACTGGCAATAGACGATAAAATTCAAACCATGTACGAAACTGAGGTAGAAAACCTGGTACAATTGGAGCAGTGCTCATTCGATGAAATCACGTTAAACAATACAACAAATGCTGGCTTAGCAAACCTTCAGCCTGAACTATGCTACATGAACGAACTTAGTAATTTGAGCACAAATTCACTTACTTCCACAGAGGCGAACGTGTTCACCAACAGCAGATTTGTACGCCTGTAGGAGAAGATGGCCACCGCAAGCACTAGGAGTGGAAAAATTAGGAACCACGTTTGAATGGGAATTGAATGTTGTTACTTCATAATACCAGCCTACATGCATGGAGTTAGTTTGTTTCATGACCAAAAATGAAGTCTGTGATTTCTCGGTAGCATAACCCACTGAAAACAGATGTTCTCTTGCACTACTCTCATTGATGCTATGGCAGATCGCGAGACTGCGGAGCACGTTGCACGTAAGCTGGAAGCCAAATATCAGACAGTCAACCTACCGATATTAGCAGAAACCCACGTCTGCGTTAGAAAATAACACTGCGAAACGCCGTTACGGAGCACAGCTGACACACATCTTATTGTTAAAGGCATTGATGTAGAAATATGAAATGCGTACATTTGCCAGTCTTCGTCTTCTTTCTATGCTTTTTAAATTAGTAAAGGGAAGAAACTGTTTCAGATTTTGAAAAAGTCAGCTGCTTTAGTGACACCACTATATCAGTGAGATCCGAGGCTATTCAGGATCTGACTGTATTTCTACTTCCAGTGCCAAGCCAAGCCAGATGGTGTTCCTTGATTTGTATAACCAATGTATTCTGCTCCACAGGAGTAGTAAAATACATAAATACACATTAAGTTTAGTGTTACCATCGGAGTGCTAATGAACTGGATTTGCATCCTTGCTTCTGGATAGGTGCGTCTGAGTGCACGTAAAATATGACGAAACAGAAGTTCCGTCTTAACTTCGCCCTTGTATGGCAGCTGAGGAATGGTTGGCTAACGTTCCGCTGTTAACATTACGGGCATCTTCTTGTCCTGTTATACCTTGGCTTTAATGCATTAATTGAATGCACTCTAATTCCCTAAGCAACCTGTCTTCCGAGCAGATCCTTGCAACTCGGCTCACTAGGCTATGTATCAAGTTCTGTTTAAACCTTAGAGGCATAAAGTTGTAGAAATTTGTGAATTGTCCAGTCCAGGTTCATTTCCTATATATGCGACGCTGCAGGGCACTTCCATCAAATGTTTTTATTGCGAAGTCTAGGAAATGAAAGCGACTGTTTTCTTTCACATCCTAGATAGACTTTGTTGCTGAGTGGAATGGGTTGAAGGGGTTTGTTAGCTCACCAATACTTTGAGAGTCTTGAAGTAAGACAAATAATTCGTCCACCTGCCAGCAATGTAGACTGAGGTCTGCGATCGTTGATTTTAACTTGCACAGTTCCAACAAACCCATGACAACATCAGTAAGGCGGGGTCCAAGTGGGGAACTTATTGGACCCCATCGCACAGCCGGGTTTGGGGGTTAGGGATTGTGAACAGTTGCTTTGGACTAGCGCCAGATGAGTTGTATGCTGTGTAATGGCGATATGCAACCACGTTTGTGATCATTCGTTGATTTGCATCAAACGATATTCCTTCTAGTTACCGAAAAAAACTGTGCAACGCTTGTTCTTTATCCTCACGAGTTTTGCAATATACAGTTCAGTACCTCCACATCTGGGGCTTGCGAAATAGGATCTAAGGTTGGAGATGGCTGGATGAGCGACCGGGTACACGCCGCTAACTGGGCTCGTGAGTTAGCATTTCTGTTTTAGTACAAAGCCAACCCTCAGACCCGTCATATCTAACTGCCGCAAAATCTACACGCATTAAGTTCCTTGGTGTTGTTAGAAAAATGTTCTATCACACTTCTGTTCTTTACATCACAATTTGTATGCTAATCCGCAGGACAAGTCTCCACTCGCCGCCCGATATTGACTGTAACAAACCTCACAAACAGATATACTAGTTAACCTATGGCACAAACCACAACAGAGGGAGAGCTTACCTGAAAGAATTTCTAGCGAGTCGAAACCCAATACTCTATCCCAAAGCAACAGCAGTTGGTCCGGGGCCAGGAAACCACTGAATGCTCGCATCAACCATTTAAATGCGAACCGGATTCTGAAAATGTTATTCATAAAGATCACAACGTTTACAATTCCTCAGGAATAGTTATCCACATAATGGTTATGTTAAACAAAAGTCACCATCACTTATGAACAGTGGGACTAATATTTCGAGCTCGTATGGCCGGAACAAGTTTGTGGAATACAGTGCAGTACCCATAGAACATCGAAACAGATGTAGCTACGTTCAAGACAGCGTGTTTCTGACACTATTCAAGAGAGAGATGAGACATAGCGGGTAAAATTGCAAAAGCGCGACAAGTTTAGTGGGATGATTAAGGTGTAACTTACAATGTAAACCACAATGTTACTAAACGCGCGCCTAAATTGCATGACTCACCAAGTGGTTTACACTGGCACAACAGTGAGTATTTTTGTACCTGGAGTTTAAGGGGTGTCAGACACTGTACACTGTTTATTCTGCATTCATAAAATCATTTGATGGTCACAGGCTATTTCTCGCAGCACAAATGTTTCAGTACGTCTTCAAGTAGATTTTTCAACGGTGATTAGATGCCGTAATTGATTACCGCCGTTGGGAAAGAGTTCTAGAGCTGTGCATTCGGGGAAGAGAAGTTTTCGTTGACCTTTCACTTGGTTGTACTGCGTACACAGCTTAAACTGATGACACACTGGCTAGAGGAGCACAAGTTCCAATTAACTTCCTGATGGTTCGGGGTTCGCATCCTGCCATCTCTACTTGATGCGATCGAGTAAGTTCGAGACGCTTAGTGGAGTGCAGTGTTTCCGGACGGGCAACACCAGATATCCATTTATCCTATCCTAACTTTCTTAGACTACCGTAATATTTTAAGCAGTTTGGTATGCCACCTGTTCTGATGAGCAGTGGCAACAGTAGTGTAACCACCACTTCTGCCGCCCGGGACGGTGGTAATATTTTTACCCTGACTGAGGGCAGAATAAACGCGTGGTCACACAATCGATGCTGGGTAAAGTGCACCCTAGTTTTCGATGAAATGGTCGATCGTTTGAGACATAGAGGTAAATGTGGTGAAACTGATCACTATAGTACGAATAAGGGGATTGCTGGGATATATATATATATATATATATATATATATATATATATATATATATATATATATATAATCTGATTACAAATACTGTGCCATCCGAACCATGGCGAAATATAGGGGGAATGAAGTACAAATTGAACAAAACGACTTATTTTCGGTTTTACACACGCCGCTTTGGGATTTATTTCTGTTTTGGAATTTATGTTCCATGAGACGTTAACTAATAGATAACACAGTTGAACGGTAGTGTCTCTACTGATGTCGGCTGCGCGCCATAGCCTCCAACGTTTCTAACCGCTCGCAGTCCGAATCGCGTGGTCCCAATTATGGACATCCAAAACGTATGCGTCATGCCACACCTACTAACTACACGCGCCCAATCACATGACTATAATGCAATCGCCGATTGTTCTCTGCTTCCCATTGGTTCGTTTTGGTCCTATATGTTTTCATTTGGCTCCGGTTAGGAGCAGAGTACGGATTCACACCTACATCGGGCGTTGGTGTTTTTCCTACGTCTAAACGGACTACGGGTTCATACACGGATTAGGAATACATGATCAGTACGTTACAAAATGGCGACGAGCAATACGAACCCACTTGCGGGTCTGTCATTTCTTTTGCCGGAGGCGTCAGGAAAACCTTTCTTACAAACATGGATTCAATGGAAAACTTCGTTCCAACATCAGATGACTCTTTTCCTTGTGTTGAATCCTTTCATCATACTATCAGCTGCCCACTGGATTATGGTTTCGCAGGCACTTGGTTCCGAAGGACAAAGAAATTTCGATGCAATGAACCTAATGATTAAATCTGGGATTTCACAAGTGATTCAGTTATTTGAGGAACTATGGGGAATACAGCAGAGCGCGTTTTCCGCTCGCTATCAACTTTGAACCTACAGCAGCAGTACAGAGAAAGCGTAAACGATTTTATCGCACGCATTCACTAAGCTAACCCAGAGTGTCGTTACAGCACAATCCCTTCGACGCGTTTTGAAGAAGTCATGAAAATGCAGTGCCTGATAGCTGGAATTATAGATGATTGATCAAGGGAAATCTATTATCCCAGGAAGAAGAAACCCTGACAGGTGTGTCAGGGTTGGGAGGAGCAACACCGAACCACCAATTCGGATACGGTCTTTGTGATCGTAATGACTGAGGTCTACTTCAAAGAGGATCGAGGTCTAAATAGAGATTGCAAGTCACAATCCAACCACACAGCGGGTACACCAAATGCCACTTGGAGCTTGCAACCTTGTTCGGCAGAGGGAACATCTGAAAAATCAGTTGTCCACTTTTAACCCCGCTTAGATTGTAGAAACTGTGAACAAACTAACTCGACCTTTTTCCTCTGAGAATATTATGCGGAAGTTTGTGTGCTACCGATGTGGTGACCAACACACTTCCCCCAACCAGTGCCCTCACTCGCGTACGAAGTGCAGGAAGCGCAGTAAACTTGGCCGTTTGGCTGGTATGTGCCGTTCCCTACCATCACAAGTTTCCAGTAAATCGCTGAACGAGAACGATGGTGAGTCATGTGATTCACCTTTAAACTGTATGAGCCATGTATTTGCGAGCTGTTCAAACATGAATAAAGTACCTCCGTATCTAATCACGCTTTTGTTAATGGTCAGTCTGTTTTACTTGAATTAGACACCGGTTCAGCAGTGACATTAACAAATCAGAATGCACTTTCAGTATTACCTAATTTGGAACCGAGTGAAACAGTTTACAAAACTTATACCGGGGAGGTCATAGACCTACTTGGAAAATGTCACGTGCTAGTTCAACATCATGGGAGAACGGACAACTTAATGTTTCATGTTGTTCCCCGTGCATCGACCAACCTACTGGGGCGTGATTGGATAAAACAGTTACCGCAGATGATGAATACAATCAACTCCGTGGGGTCGGAAACCGTAGACTCGGTCCTAAAGCGATACGCAGAGGTATTTAACGAACACCAGTTGGGGAAGCTCAACAACTTTAAAGCCAAAATCCATATGGCGGATGCTAGTACGCCAAAATTATTCAAGACTAAAACACTACCTTATTCTCTACGGCCAAAGGTTGAGGAATTGAAACGGCTCCAGCACGAAGGTACAATCATACCGGTTCAACAATCCGAATGGGCGGCACCGATAGTCCCTGTGCTTAAGCCAGACGGCAGTGTGCGGATTTGCGGTGATTACAAACTAACAGTGAATCGCTGCACTATCATGGACCGTTACCCCTTACCAAAAATTGAAGATTTATATGCCACTTTATCCTGTGGGGTCAAGTTCACTAAAGTTGATTTAAGTCACGCTTATTCGCAGGTGGAATTGGATGACGATTCTCGCCCGTTTACTACGATGAGCACACATTTGGGTTTATTTGAATACACTAGACTCCCATTTGGAATTAACTCTGCTCCGGGGATTTTCCAAAGGATAATCGACAAGTTCGTACGTGATATACCGAATACCTGTGCATACCTTGACGACTTATTAATCACGGGCAAGACAGAAGTAGACTGTTGTGTCGCCACTGGCGCCTTCACGCCACGATCACAAGAAGTAGAGAGACGAGCCGGAAAGAGAGTTGTATACATAAAATCACATTTGTTTATATAGTTTTGAAGGCAAAATGAAGGGAAGCTACTAGATAACACTTGAATCAACCGACAGAAGGAAAACGTCAAATGCAACGGGCGAATAAGCAACCGTGTAATCAAGAGCGAATCGCATATGTCCTTAAAAGTAGCATCTTGGGACGCCAAGCGTAAAGCGAACATCCATTTACAGTGACGGGCACTGGCCAAGCAGAATAACGAAATGTAGCGTTTAAACAAATGTAACAAAACAAACGAGAATAAGAACTGCAGAGCCAAAAATTAAAAAGTAGTACAATAATTGCGTGATCACTAAATATTCCCTTAACATCATCAAGTAGAAAAGTGATGCGGAGAAAAACCAATAGAATCTGTTCTTACAAATGGCACTGCTGAAGATGACACGGTGATGGGCGTCTGTTAACAATGACATATGTGTACCAATCAGGCTAACACAGTGCAGCAGTTAGACAACAGTCAAGAAGTGGGAAATAGAAGCATAAAAAATGTCTATTAAGGTCGTTCACAAAAATTGAATATCAAATAGCTGCTCTGTGCACTCTGGATAAGGTCCTACACAGACTGTCCGAAAACGAGTTGCGTTTAAAGCGTTCCAAATGTGCTTTCCTAGTTGATTTCTTTATCTTGGATACCGACTAGATAAAGATGGATTAAATGCACGAAAGAACAAGCTGTAGCCCATTATTAGTGCACCCAGTCCACACAAGGAAGCACAGTTACGTTCGTTTGTTGAGATGCTTTCACACTACCGGCGTTTTTACCTAACCTGGCCTCTGTGATCCCACCTCCTCAGGATTTGTTTAAGAAAGGTGCCAAGTGGTTGTGGACAAGGAAAGAGGAACAAGCATTTCGAAGGCGAATAATCTACTTGTTTCTTCACCTGTATTAGTGCATTATGATCCAAACAAACCTTTTGTCTTACAATGCGTTGCCTCACCGTTTGGAGTGGGAGAAGTCCTAGGACATCAGATTCCCGATGGAACTATGCGTTCTATTGTTTTGGCATCCAGAACACTGCAGGCCGCTGAGAAGAATCACGCACAGCTGGACAAAGAGGCACTGGCCGTGAGATTTGGAGTTAACCGCTACCATCAACACTTGTAGGGCAATCGGTTTGAGCTACAGACAGCTCACAAGCCAGCGACTTCGCTGCCCGGTGAGGGACGAGGTATAGAACAAATTAATGCACCCCATATGATACGCTGGGCACTCATCCATTCCGCTTACATCTATCGGATTCGATAGACCTCGGGTTCCCACGATAATGCAGCTGATGCCCTCAGTAGATTGCCAAAGGAAGTGCAAAGTAACGAGCAA